ATATATACTATGATAATAGAATTTTATTGGATTTTTTAAAATAAATCTGGTAGAGAACATAGAATTCTCCTTCATTTTTTTGTTTAAATTAGCATTATTTATCATTCAACAAGTTAATATTTCTAGTATCTATTTTAAAAATAATTAATACGACAAGTGAATAATCAGCTGATATTTAACTTTGAATTTCTACTGCTTTTGTTTCGTATTCGCGCCTATGAATGTAAGGTTCACCTCTTATTATGAGCATGGCCAGTAGTGTTATTAAAGGGCTCGATTAGATACTATTTTTAAAAACCGTAACTTAATATTTTATCCAGAAAAATATTTCCTAAACTTCAAGATTTTGCTAATAGATGTTCAACCCTTTATGCCATATATGACCAAAATCTTCAGGCTTCCATAATATTTTTCCAGATAAAATATTGTTAGGCTCATACGAGCCTTTTAATAACACAAGGCGCCTTATTATATCTAAAATTTATTCTCTCTTTTAAAATAATGCATATATTCTTAAATTAATTTTAGGTTATCTCCAGAGGTTTCTTTTATTTTTCATTAGCTTTAATCTATTTTTGATGCAAGTGTTCTAAGTTGTTTGATGGCAATTTTATCAAAATCGAACTAATGAAAATTAAAAGTTACCCAAGAAGAGCACGGAAGGTTGTGAAGTGATGGAAAAAATTTGCAAAATATTTAAGAGAATTTTTCTCCTACTAAAATTGTACCCTTTTACGACCTTCAGATTTAAAGCTCCTTATAAACATACTAACACATTTGCTTTTAAAAGAGGAAGATATGAAATGCAGCTGCCTGATCATTAATTTTAAAATGATTAAGTTTGTTTGCAATTTTTCATCGAGGTAGACATTTAAGGGGAGTAGGCTAGGGGTAAGATAAATTTATTGGAGGGTTATCTATTAAATTTTTAGATAAATAAAGCAAAATGTATTGCTGTAATAATTAATACTTATTATAGACTTATTTATAATACAATGATATTTTAAACATCGGCTAATTTTATATATTGCATACAATAGTCATTATTTTCCAAATAAAATTATTTCTGGATAATTATCTGCTATTTATATGTAATTTAAAAGGGTTAAGCATCTTCAAACCCGTGGCGTCGCTAGGGGGGGGAGCGCGCAGGGGGGGGGGGCTCGAGCCCCCTGAAAAATTTGAATAGCCCCCTGAAGCAACAAATTTTTTTTAATCGCTCCTTAATATCCCCTTGAATTAAAAATAAATTTTTTTGATTGCCCACTGAATGTTTTCTTTTATAACTCTATTGAGTAATATATAGATTTAATTTTATAATTTTAAAATTAATAAGTCTATCTAAATTATTCTTAATTGAATACTATTTTAATTATTAGATTAGATTAATCTTGTAAATTATATTTTCGCTATGTCAGCTTGCTATCAAATTCTGTGTTAAAAATAGAATATTAATATCACTCACAAAATATTAATTTAGCATTAACAGTTAAAGCTTTATTGACTTTTATTTATTAAATTAATATATAAGTATAACCCTAATTAAATAAATATTAATTGAAAATTAACAAATTTAATATTGTAATTAGCCGAGTTCAAAACACTAATCAACTATATTATTGATGTTTAAATTTAATTACCATTCATCTTCTTAAAATTATTTTCAAGATCCAAATCCAAATATGTATAAGAGATTTATTTATAAAAAGTAAGTAAACATATAGTTTATAATCCTCTATTAGATATAACTGATTATAAAATATTAGGTTAAATACCACTTTTACAGACGTATTTGACAGTTATATAATATATTACAGTTAATATTTTAATAAATTTAACTAATAAGTGCTATTGATAATATATATCTGATAAATTGTTTTTATGTATTTAACGCCATCTATTTATTTGAAATATTATTATAATTAAACGTCTTATTATTCATCCCACAATGGAGGTAATAAATTAGATAACTTTTCTTCTCTTTTTTACGTGTATTTAGGAAAGCTATTTTTTTCTTATTTGAAAAACAGTTTTGAGTTAAATTTTTAATACTAGTATATTTTTGATATTATTACAAACGACTACTATTTTAAGATATAATATACCAACTAGAGGTGGTGCGACAATAATATATAAAATTTTAATTTCTTTCATAATATCACTCTGGTTCTTTTATAGTTCCAAAATGTCTCATTTCTAATATGGCATCCTTGCCATGTAAATAACTCAAGGTTTCAATATATTTGAATAATTTCTTCTAAAGATTTATAGTGTTTTTGTTTTATCAATTTATTTAGTATAATAAATTCTGATATAAGTTAATATAGTGAGTGTCATGGCTATGACTGGAAATTAACAAGCATCTATTATTTGTGTGGCTATGTAATTTAAGAATATTATTACAGCTGCTGAGAGCATATGTTTGCATATTTTATAAGCAATAATGGTTAACTGTGTAGTTGTTTATATATCATTAAAAATGGAAGATAATCTTTTAGAAATTTAATACCTCACAAGTTTTTTAACAATTACTTATCTATCTTCCATCATGGTATTTAAGAAGAATCTCTAACTACCATAGTTTATAATTTGGATTGATCGTTTATATTCCTCCAAGAATTGTTGATTTGGTTAGGCCTAATTTTCCTTATTAGTCTATTCTATAAAACATTGTGTGAAAATGGTAACAGAGTGTTATATTATTTTCTTGACCTTTTGTCAATGTAAGTTGCTAATTTTATAGTATGTAGCAGTGGCGTAGCTACGGGGGTGGTTTTCGGGTTTGGACCCCTCCCAGAGCAAAAATTTTTTTTTAGATTATACGTTCAAAAGACTTAAAAGTGACTTTATATCAAATAAATACCATTAATATATATATTTTTTTTTGGTTTTGATGTTTGTGAAAGGATATTATATTACTATTGAAATTATTCTGGGTAGTATTATTATAAAGTCATTGAGAACAATCTACTAAATTATAATAACATATTATTGATGCTTTAAAAAATATATTTATTATATATTATCGAATATATGGTGCTAGGCCTACAAAAAAACGAATCGAATAATTGCGCTATTCGTATTCGTACGAATAATAAAATCATTATTCGTTTCGATTAGAAAATTTTCTAAAGCTTATAAAATATTTTGCAAAAAAATTTTTACAGATGTTTAAAGATGGCAATTTTAAGGATTCTCTAAACTAATTGTCATTTTTGCATATAAAATATAACAAAATTTTAGAAAGTATTTCATTATAGATTTTATTTATTAAAAATACTTTAGTAGCATAAATTTCCTTTATTTAATTATTAATATAATTTTTAGAGGTGATTATGACAATGTAATAAAGGATGAAGATATTATAATGCACTATCTGAATTAGATTGTCTTTAAAATTTGCCAAAAATAAGGTTACTAAATGGGAAAAGGATTTTCCTAATCAAATAATAAGAACTAGTCAAAAAAATTTAGTTATTTATCTGCCAGGAGCTCGAGAATATGGGAAAGAGGCACACTTTATAAAAATGTTTTGACTTGTTCATAACATCAAAAATGATTAAAGAGAAACAATCAAAATAAAATAATTATATTTTACTTTGAAGCTTTTCCTTTTCTTCCATTAAACTTTTTCAGCAAATATAACTTGTTATGATTTGATATTTGATAATAGGAAATAAAATAAAACGAAATGATATCCACTAGGAAAATTTAATTACTTCTTTTTATTTTACTTGCAATAAAATATTTGCGAATAATTACGAATATTTATATATAAATAATTTCGAATACGAATAATTGTGTTATTTGTATTCGTAAAATACGAATCGAATATCAAATAATTCGTTTTAGGCCTATATGGTGCCGGGTAAAACGGCCGAAGGCCCGTTAAAGGGAGTCTGGGGGGCGAAGCCCCCAGGCTTTCATATGTATGGACCCCCTCTAAGGAAAATTTCTAGCTACGCCACTGGTATGTAGTTTTAAAAAACTATTATCAATTGAAGCATATATATGTATTAATTAACCTTTTTTATCACTTGTAATTCTTTGACGCAAATTTTTTTTATATCAGCAATCGAAAATATTATACTGTAATAAATATTTGTATTAAAAAATAATATTTTTAGAAGTGTCTTATATTGTTTTAATTATTTATATGCTAGTTTATTTTGTATGCATAATATAATAAATAACAAAATATGAAATTCAGAATAATTATTCAGAGTTAAAATTATTTTTAGTTGAGCCCCCTGAGATTGTAAAGGCTAGCGACGCCCCTGATCAGAATTGAGAAAGTTTAATGTGGGAGGTTGACTGATTAAGTCTTTTAATTTTTTATAACATTCTTGATGTTCGGTGTCCCAAGACCATTTATCTTTGTTGATTATTTTATATAGTGGATTTGCCAGATCTGCAAAACTGTTTAAAAATTTACGGTAATAGCTCGCTATGCCTAAGAAAGTAGATAATTCTTCTGATTTTTTTGGTATTATTATTTTTATCTATTGCGTCATGATTATTGAAAGTAATATAAGGAGTTTCCCATCTATTTTGATCATGAAATCTGTCATAGTTTTGTCTTGAAAAATGATAGTTATTTTGGTTGTTTAATCTTTGGTTGCTATAATATGGTCGAGTCTGCCATGGTTTTCTAAACTGATGTTTGTAATTATTATCATAATGTCTGTTGCTCTCAGTATATGGCAGCATCTGGGTATTGTCATATCCAGTATTAGTTGGTTTTTGTTCGTAAACTTTCTTATCTTGTCTTACCTCCCTCCAAATATTTTAGATCAGAGTGTGTATTTTCTTTGATAACAATCTTATGTATGGATGTTTCAATGTCAGTTTCGTCTAATTCTTTGCCTATCTTTATAATGTCATCTAAAATGAGTAAATCTTTAATTCTGTATTTAATTTCCTTAGATGAGCTTGATACCTTTATTTTTTCTAAAACCCTGTCGTAGCCGATAAAGTTGTAGTCCATATTGAGTTGACAATTACGGGTAACCCAATTTAAAAAATTCTCTCTCTTTTTGAACCGCTGCATTGAATTCGGTAATTTTTTTGTTTCGAATCTTGGCAGGCTGTAATAATCTAAGTTTGTTGATGAGTATCGACGATTTCTTGAGATCGGATTCAGTGCATATCGATTTTAATTTTGAAAATATGTCATCTGGTAAATTATGAAGTAAGGTCGTGGCGTTATCGTCATCTAATTTTGGTTAAATATGTATCAATGTTTCCTATATATTTAGGAAATTCGCATTTATATGATATAGTATCATTAGAAACAATAGTTTTTTTTATCTTCCATCATATTTAATTAATTGAATAAAAAATTTTATTCTTGTTTTTTTAAATATAATTGAATTATTTTATTTTTAGAAATATGAAATTATATTTTAATAAAATTTTAATTTACAAAAAGATAGCTACTGCCACCATGTTAAGGTTAGCACGGAGTTAGACAAGATTTAATAAAGTAATTTTAAAATTTTTATTTATTAAATTTATTTAAAAAATATTTAACTGAAAATACAATATATTTCTGTTCTTTATATAGTATATAAAATCAATTTATATATATAAAAAAAATCTATTAAATAATTTACATCAAACTATCAAGTGAGGTTAATATTAATTTAATATAAAGAATAAAAAAATTAATCTTTATAGTTAATATTGAGTTAATAGATAGCGAAAAATAAATATTAAAATTTCAACCTAACTCAGGGACCTAGATATGGGTTCAAGATACAATATTTGGATGTTATTAAGCTATAAATGAATGTAAATAAAAATTTTAAAATTACTTTATTAAATCTTGTCTAACTCCCTGCTAACCTTAACATGGTGGCAGTATGCAGGGAAAGTCATTTTTACTGCCTCTATAGTTTTAATATGGGATCCCCAACGTGTAGAACTCAAGGCATCAATATTTTTGGATTTTAACCCTAATCTTAATTGCAAATCAATAAATTTATTGTGATGGATAACAGATATTGAGAAAAAAGCATGAATACCTTCTAATACATTAAAAAACTTTCTAGATTGAGGTACTGATTTGCAGGCAGAGATCAGTACAAGGTTGAGTTTATGCGCATAGCAGTGCACATATATAGCCATTTTGTGATTTTGGCGATATCTTTCCTGGACTCCTGAAAGATGCCCTTTCATAACACTTGCACCATCATATGCTTGAGCAACGCAAATTGCATTTATGGAATTGTTGTTTAAGGTTGTTATTAATGTCTTCGTTAATGACTCTGCATCTAAGTCTTCAACTTTTTGAAAAGGTATAAAAGATTCCTTTGGTGTTTTTGTTTTATCAACATATCTAACACATATACTAAATTGCTCATATGAGCTAACATCACGAGTGTCATCAGCCATGACAGCAAAATAGCCTGCCTCCCTTATTTCTGATGCTATGTACTTTACGACTAAGTTTCCAGCTGCAGATAGCATTTGATTTTGTGATTGAGGTGAACAATAATGAGCATTGCCTGGTGGTTTATATGCTATTAAAAATGGATCATACTCTTTCAAACAGTTTAATATTTCACAATAATTTCCTTGATTATTGCTTGTCTTACTTTCATAATGACCTCTAAGGGGAAGTTCCAACTTACCACATAGTATTATAATTTTGAATAATCGTTTCAAATATTCTCTTCTTTCAAGTATTGTTGATTTAGTTAGAGCTATAAATTTTTCTTTAATGGTGCCTTCTATCAAAAATTGTTTAAAATGGTTCCAGAGAATTACATTCATTGCATGACCATTTGTTGCTCCGTGAGTTGTTAAGTATTCTTTTACCTTACGAAATTTTTGATAACCTTGATTAATAAGGTATCCTTTTTGAGGTTGAGTGGGAAAATTACGACATGGAAAACAAAAAATAGAGTTTCTGGTTATGCTATATTCAATCCAGGGAAAGGATTTGTACCACTGAGTTTGAAAGCATCGTTTATCTTTACCCATTCCAATATATGGATAGGAATCTAATATAGGTTGCATAGGACCAGTTGTTTTAGTACCCAGATCTAATTCTTCTGAAAAAAGTGATAAAAATTAATAAATGAATTAAAATATTATTAATTTTAGAAAATTATGACAAATATTATATATTTGAAGAAAAACATTGTTAAAATAAAAATAATACTTGTATAAGCTCTTCTAAAAAAGTGACAATTATTAATATAAAAATTAAAATATTAATGCTTTTATGAAAATTATGACAAATATTATATATTTGAAGAAAAATATTGTTAAAATGAAAAAAATACTTGAATAGTTGTTATTTTTAGATTGGGCCAAACGTATAGCTTCTATTATTTTATAAATAAATATAAAATATCTTATAAACAAATTAATTTACTTATTTTCTTTCCTTCTGTATCTACATTATTTATAATCATGTCATTCACAATACTTTCTTCATTATTTAATAAATCTAAATAAGGTTAATTTTAAAATGTATTTCATCAAATGTAATTTGTTGTAATAAAACTTCTTTATCCAATATACCTTTATATTTACTGCTATCAAGAATATGGCTTTTTGTAGTATCCTCTTCAGAATCCATGCCTAAAATTTTATATTTAATTATATTTAAAAAATTAATACCTTCAGAGATATCTATACATTGGATCTCACATATATCTTCAGATTGAGCCACACATATTGCTTCAATTATTTTATAAATAAAATATCTTATATATAAATTAATTTACCCATTTTCTTTACTTCTGTACCTACATTATTTACAATCATGTCATTCACAATACTTTCTTCATTATTTAATAAATCTAAATAAGATTAATTTTAAAATGTATTTCATCAAATGTAATTTGTTGCAATAAAACTTCTTTATCCAATATACCTTTATATTTACTGCTACCAAGAATCTGGCTTGTTGTAGTATCCTCTTCAGATTCTATGTCTATATAAAATTTTATATTTAATTTAATTATATTTAAAAAAATAATACATTCAGAGATATCTGTACATTGGATCTCACATATATCTTCAGATTGAGCCACACATAGTGCTTCTATTATTTTATAAATAAAATATCTTATAAATTAATTTTTTACCTATTTTCTTTCCTTCTGTACTTACATTATTTACAATCATGTCATTCACAATACTTTCTTCATTATTCAATGAATCTAAATAAGATTAATTTTAAAATGTATTTCTTTTCAGTGTATTTATTTTTGTAAATATAATATATAAAAAGTAATATTCCATATTATAGTGTCCATTTTTCAAAAATATATATATAAATAAGCAAACTATTCTAAATTTATTTAGCATTTTTATTAAAATATAGTTTATTATTAAGTTAGGATAAACAAATAAATATATAATTATCAAATTATGAAAGAATGATTGAGTAAACAATTTAGCCAATATTATCTTTATTAATGTAAAAAGAATAATAGTGCATGATTTTTTAAGATATTGACTATTTATATAGAAAATATTTACTATGTTTTATTTAGCTAATATTTTGACATCACCTTATGTTATTATAATAGAAAAATTTTAAAAAAATTTTCCATTTCTAGTGTCCAGCTCCTGAAAGGTGAAAATATATTGTAAAACAATTTTTGTTTAACTTGAAAACTAAAGAAATCAATATTGTTTAATACTCTGGTGAAAAATGACTTAAATATAAATTCTATAGAAATTGGGCAAATTTGGGAGGAAATAGGAGAAACATATAACTTCAATTATGATCAAGTGAAAAAGAAACCTTCCATTAAAATAGATAATTAACTAATAAATTTTTATTTTTTAAAACTTAAAAGTCTAAAGTGTTTTGTTATTAATTTGTAAAAATTTTAAGGATTTTTTCAAAACATTTTGGACACAGACTTATATATAAATTTATTTACCTATTTTCTTTCTTTTAACATTTTTGTTTTCAATATTTATATCTTTTAAAACTACAATTAATCGTCTTTCAACTAAATCAAAGTTTGAATTTTAAAAACTGTATAAAATATACTTTGTTCATCACCAGCTTTATTATTGAATCCTCTTCTTTGGTCCTCAAGATTATTGCTACTTTTATCTTTAGTTTTTTTCATAAAGTCTTTTAAATTTTTAAATCGCAAAGTCATTTTATTTAAATAGTGATTTTAAACTCGGCTCACAATATTAAATTTGTTAATTTTCAATTAATAAATCTTTATATTTATTTAATTAGGGTTATATAATAATTTAATTAATAAAAATCAATTAAACTTCAACTGTTAATGCTAAATTGATATTTAAACATTATGCATGGTATTGATATTTTATTTTTAACAAAGAATTTGATTGCAAGCTGACATAGTGAAAATATAATTTATATGTATTAATCTAATCTAATAAAATTTAGATAGTCTTATTAATTTTTAAATAATAAAATTAAATCTATATATTACTTAATAGAATTATAATAAACAGGGGACTATCAAAAAAAGTTCTTTTTAATTTAAGGGGATATTAAGGAACCATTAAAAAAAAAATTTTTTTTGCTTCAGGAGGCTATTCAAATTTTTCAGGGGGCTTGAGCCCCTGCGCTCCCCCCCCCCTAGTGACGCCACTGATCCTGATTTACCCATAGGTATAGCTGCTGATGCATCTAAACTCGGCTTGGGAGCTATATTATTTCACATAGAAGGGGACGGCAAAGAAAAGCCGATAGCTTTTGCCTCAAGATCCCTTAAATCCGAAATAAATTACACTAACATTGAACGCAAAGGTTTGACAATTATTTTTGCAATGAAAAAATTTCAAGAATATCTGATCGGAACAAAATTAACAATCATCACCGATCACAAGCCGTTGATTTATATTTTTTCCAAAGGATTAAAATCCATCCATGTCGATGAGGTTACAGAAATGGAATATTGCTATGGGAGCTTACGACTTCGAAATAAGACATAGAGCGGGTAAACACAACACGGTACCAGATTGTTTATCCAGATTGCCATTAACATCTGCAGAAGAAGATATACTTATTATTGTGGATGATGTAAAAGAAAATAATGATTTATGGGACGTACCAATTAACTTAAAAATGATCGAAAAAGAAACTTCTAACAACGGAGAATTAATGGAAATAATTAAGGATATTAGAAACGGTGACACGATAAAAAATAAAACATACAATAATATGATAACGGAATTATGTGTTATGGAAAATTACCTTTTGATAGAATATAGTGATAATACCAAAAAATATGAGAAAGGAGATATTACAAGAATTGCATAAAGGGCATGTAGGTGCTGGGAAAACGAAATCATTGGCGAGAGATTATTTGTGGTGGCCTGGTCTAAACGCTGATATAGATCAGGAGGTGAGAAACTGTGATACGTGTAATAAATATGCGGACAATCCTCATAATGTACAAAATCCATGGGAAAGAGCTATAAAAGGGTTCGAACGCGTACACATCGACTTTGCACAATTTGAAGGTAGAAATTTTATGGTATGTGTTGACGCACTTAGCAAGTTTCCTATCATTAGAAGAATGAGAGATATAACTACTGAGTCAACAATCAAAGAATTGTTAAAAATAATCAGCTTATTTGGTATACCCAATAAAATAATCAGTGATAATGGTACCAATTTTACAAGTAACTTGTTCAAAAAATTTTGCAGTGATCATGGAATTAAACACATTCTCACCACGCCCCATCACCAACAGTCTAATGGTCAGTGTGAGCGAATGATAAGATCAATAAAAATATGCATGAAAAGGAATATGGAAAGTAATAATAAAATAGACTTAGATAGATATAGCTTTAGAAAAGTTTTTATTCAATTATCGCAACACACCAAACGCAACAACCAAGAAGATACCAAGCGAAGTGATGTTCAACAGAACCATATGGGATTTGATCAAATCACAAGAAGATAAAGTAAATGAATTTAATCGTAATTTATCGTAAAATAGAAATATCATAAATGGTGACAAAGTTTGGTATAAAACCTTCAAGAATAATATATGGGACAAAGGCATGGTAAAACGCAAAAATGGGAATTTATTATATGAGATAGATACAGGAAACAGAATTATTAAAAGACATTTAGACCAAATCAAAAAAAGGTCAAGTATCTTACCATTTAGTAATGAAATAACTCATATGAAAACAAATACCAAAAATACAATACCTTGTACTCTGATGAAAACAAATACTAATAATACAATACCTTGTACTCTGAGAAATGATGATAAATTAGCGGGAAATGAAAATAAAGAAATTCAACAACAGATTTTGAACAGTCAAAGGCCGAATAGAATCAAAGCATTGCCTACGCGATATTGAGATTATGTTATGAACTTAAAAGATTTACATCCAAGAAGAACCGGAATGGAGTTCATTTCTTAAAGGGTGGAATGTTGTGATGGATTGATTTTCTTTTAATATTTATTTTTCGCTATCTATTAATCAATATTAACTTTAAAGATTGATTTTTTTATTCTTTATATTAAATTAATATTAACCTCACTTGATAGTTTGATGTTAATTATTTAATAGATTTTTTATATATATAAATTGATTTTATATACTATATAAAGAACATAAATATATTGTATTTTCAGTTAAATATTTTTTAAAAATAAAAATTCTAAAATTACTTTATTAAATCTTGTATAACTCCCTGCCAGTGGCGTCGCTAGGGGGGGCGCAGGGGCTCGAGCCCCCTGAAAAGTTTGAATAGCTCCCTGAAGCAAAAATTTTTTTTAATGGTTCCTTAATATCCCCTTGAGCTAAAAATAAATGTTTTTAATTGCCCTCTGAATAATTTCTTTTATAATTCTATTGAGTAATATATAGATTTAATTTTATTAAAAAATTAATAAGATTATCTTAATTTTTATTAAATGAATACTATTTTATTTATTAGATTAGATTATTACATATAAATTATACTATGTCAGCTTGCAATCAAATTCTATGTTAAAAATACAACAATATCACTCACTAAATATTAATTTAGCATTAACAGTTGAAGCTAATTGACTTTTTTATTTAAATTATTATATAACCCTAATTAAATAAATATAATTATTTATTAATTGAAAATTAATAATTTAATATTTTAGCCGAGTTCAAAATCACTAATCAACTATATTGATTTTTAAATTTAATTATCATATCTCTTCCTAAAATTATTTTCAAGGTCCAAATCCAAATAAGTATAAGAGATTTATTTATAAAAAGTAAGTAGAGATATTTTATAATCCTCTATTATATATAATTTTTTATAAAATATTAGGTAAAATGCCACTTTTACAGACGTATCTGACAGTTATATAATATATTACAGTTAATATTTTTAAAATTTTACTAATAAATGCTTTTGATAATAAATATAAGTAACAATTTGCTTATATATAATTAACGCTATATATTTATTTACAATATAATTAATATTAAACATATTATTATATACCACAATGGATGTAATAAATTAGATATCTTTTCTTCTCTTTTTTACGTGTTTTTAGGAAAGCTATTTTTCCTTCTTCGGAATTTAGATTTGCGTTAAATTTTTAATACGAATTATTTTTGATATTATTACAAACTACTATTATTTTAAGATATAATCATTGGATATAATATACCAACTAGAGATGGTGCGACAATAATATTTAAAATCTTAATTGCTTTCATGATATCACTCTGGTTCTTATTTTGTAGTTGCAAAATGTTTCCTTTCTAATATGGCATTTTTGCAGTGTAAATAACTCAAGGCTTCAATATATTTGCATAATTTCTTCTAAGGGTTTTTAGTGTTTTTGTTTTATCAATTTATCTAACAGAATAAATTCTGATATGGGTTACCATCGTAAGTGTCATGGCTAGGACTGTAAATTAACCAGCATCTATTATTTATGTGGCTATGTAATAAAGATTATTACTACAGCTGCTGAGAGCATATGATCGCATATTTTAGATAAGCAATAATGGTCAACTGTTTAGTCGTTTATATATCATTAAAAATGGAAGTTAATCTTTTAGAAATTTAATATCATACAATAATTTTCTCGATTACTTATCAAGCTTCCATCATGTCATCTAAGAGGAAGCTCTAACCACCATATAGTTTTATGATTTGGATTGGTCGTTTATATTCTCTTCTTCAAGAATTGTTGATTTGGTAAGG